AGATGTTGGACCTTCTAAATTTCCATGTCTATTTTAAATGTCTTTTAAACTTACATGCTGGGCCGGGGATTTAGCTCAGTGGTGCCACTGCCTGCCTCAATTCCCAGTACCAAAAAAAAAAAGAGAGAGAAACTGAATTTAACATGCTTAGAAAGTTTCCTGAATTTTCTTTTAGACCTTTATTACTACAGCAATAATTTTAAGTTTTAGAACGTCACTTATCTAATTATCTCTTTTAAAAATAGCTTCAATTATTTTAACAACACAGCATTTGTTCAAGTCTTAGACATGAATAAACTCTTCAGTTTCCTCTGCTATTACACAACTTTCTGTACTCTGGATTGAATTCTGTCTCTTGGTCTTTATTATGCTGATAGTTTTCATCATGAGTGGTCTTTAAATACCTGCTCATGTTTAAGAATACTGTTTGGTTACCCTATGTAAACGGCAGGGAATTCTTTGGATAATCTCACTGTAGGTCGTTTGCTGAAAGTGAAGGTTAACCAGGATCTCTCTATGCATGGGAAGGGGTGCATGTCAATATGAGATTTCCCAAATTCCAAAATGAAGGTTATAACTAAACTACTAACTCTTCACTCTCTAGCTGCTGGAGTATTCATAAGTTCAATGTTTTCATATGAAATTGTCATATTCTTGTTTAAAACTTCCAACATTACAGATAACACTAAATTTCCCACTTCCAATCTAGTCCTCAAAAGGAACACTCATTAGTTGGATGTCCAAAACTTTTCCTAAGCATTTTATACTAATACAAATATATTAGAAATGTATTTTGAAATATAGAGGGGTGAAAAAAATACAGTGAATGTTTAAGTTGTTATAGTAAGACTCATTGTCAAAACTGATGAGATAAATGTGCTCGAATTGAGGGGGAGTATCTTTAAGTGGGATCAACGGTAATGTCTTTTACTATAATAAAATTTTCAAATTTAAACATTTACTACTGTTTTTTTCTAATCATCCCTCACTGATCAATATTTATGGCAATTTCTGTCAAAAGCATGACAGTGTGCCCTCATCCAACTTACTGGATCTGGTACTGTGTAACTTCTAGCTCTTCCCCAAAGTCAAAATGACCATGAAAGGTAAATATTTTTAATTGATTCAAGACATTGAGGAGCCACGACAATGTTAACTAAAGGTAATCATGAAAGAGGACTTTCAGAACTGCTTTAGAAAGTGGCAAGAATGATGGGATAAGTGGGGGTTTTTTGTTTTGTTTTGTTACCAGGGATCGAACTCGGGTCCTTGTGTTTGCAAGGCAGGCGGCAGAATCACTAAGCTAAATCCCTGGCTCTGGGATAAGTGTTTGAAGGGGGAAGATACTGAGGGAGACTAATGGTAATGTTTCTTACTGTAATACTTTTTTAAAAAGTAAGCATTCACCATGTACTTTGATCACACCACATAAATTCTGCAAAATTTGCTTTTTCCACACCTAAGTCATTTAGTCAAATCTATACCAACTTTTTCAGTCCATTCTTTAAAACTGCTGGGTAGAATTTCTAGTTGTGACTTTGATGGAATTTAGATTGTTTTCAACCTTTCAGGTACCAACTATCCTGCCTGCCAAAGTGTGTACAATAGAGAACATTTAAATTTCACTGCCTTCAGAGTGACAGTGATGATTCATTTCTTCTCACCACTCCAAATATTTGATACTACACTCTTGCAATTTACATCTTGGTACTAGTGACTTTAGACAAGGACTCATTTATTAGCAATCTGATTTTTTTCTATGATTTGTGTATTCTTTTCCTTTTCCAATTCTTGCTGTAGGGATCCTTTAGGCAGATTGGCTCCCTTTACTAAAACCCTTCAGTATTTCACACTTCAGGTAGCAGCTTCTGCTACATTTCATGAACACTTTTATATCTTTTATCTTTTACAAAATTAAAATTTTTTAAATACTGAAACTTCTTAGCCTTTATATCATCCCGTGTTTAATGGTACCCACAGGGAAGACAATGTTATGTCTTCCTATCCTGTGTTTAATTGCACAAGAAACCCTTGGTTTTCCCAATGAAACTTCTGATATTGGCAAATTGCTTACCCGAAAGGTTGTACAAATCACACTCCCCTACACCAGTGTACAGTAATAGCTCCTTTCCTATGTTTTAGCATACAAATTTTTATTAATATACTGATTTTGATTTCATTGATTTTAACTGTATTTCTTCTGATCACCTGTTGCCTTGTCGTATTCTTTACTCATGGGAGGAAAAGAGTCATTTTATAATTGATTTGTAGGAACGCTTTTATGTTAAGGATATGGATTTCATAGGTTATGTATGTTGCAAAACTTTTCTCCCATTCTAGGGTTTAAAGAATCTTCCTTTATACTATGTTTGATCATATAGAACTTTCACACCAAAGTTCTTTTACAGTCAATCTATTATTCTGTGTGTGGGAAGAGTGAGGGAGGTACCTGGCTCTCACTCATTTAAGGTTGCTCTTGTTCCATTACATGTTACTGTCCTCTAACGTTTGCTCCACAGCTAAACAACTTGGAGCTTTCATGGACAGAATGAGAGGATTACTTTTTTACAGACCACGATCAGTTCTTCCCAGTACTGTTCAGTTTTCTCCAACAGTGAGACCACTGTGAAATGTCACTTTTAAGTATTTTCTTTATGTGTATCTGTATAAATGTGTATGTTCACACTATTTCAAAACTTGAAAAGTGACTGTTAAATTTTGTGAGGTAAAAGGAATCTGTAGCTTTCTACTACTGACATCTGTATAATACTGAAAATTCTCAGAGGATTAATGTATATTCAAATTTTCAAGTCTACCCGCCATTAAACTTTCATCATTCTCTTTATATCTACATTTATAGGTGCATGTTACTGCATTGATCGCATACTTAAAGGTTCCATGAGTCAGCAAATAGTAAAACAAAGAGTAAAACAGGACAGATAAAAAGAAATAGGAAGTGTTTTGAACTTCAGAGAACTATAAAGCACAGGCCCCCATAAAGGTATTACTATTTGGGCTGGGGATTTAGCCCAGGGGTTCCAGCGCCTGTCTCGCAAGTGCAAGATCCTGAGTTCGATCCCCGGTACCTCCCCCGCAAAAAAGGTATTACTATTCATTTGAAGCTCAATGCATATCAAATCCTGGATGTTTGCAGGGAGCCAGTCTGAGTATTGACCTAGTTTGGGTTTCTTTTCTCCTTTCACTTTGGAATTTTAGAAATGTAACAACTTCTTTCAAATGACATAGGTTTACTTTTTACATACTGCCAAATCTGACTTCTAAGTTTTTGTTAAACAAATTTCTGTCTATGTTCATACTTTTTTCTTCTATTAGATCTTTATACAGTTTTAGGATTAGCACAATGTTGATTTCCTAAAATGAGGGGAGAAGTGTTCTTTTTTTTTCTGCTTTAAATGTTTGATATAATTCACCAGCTAAAATGTTTATGAGCCTGTTGTTGTCATATGGGTAGGTTTTCAAACTAGGAATATACTTTCTTTAATAGGTGCTATTCAAATTTTATATTTCCTCCAGAGTCAGTTTCATTAATTTGTCTTCCAAGGTACTTCTTAGAAATTGTCAAATTTATTTCAAAACAGATTTTTGTAATATGCTTTCTATATCCTTTTAAATTCTGTAAAATCTGTGGTAATGTCTTCTAGGTCTTCATATTTTAATTTAAAAAATGTATAATTGATATTGTGTAATAGGAAGTAAAGGTCTGAAGAGCAGGGGAAGTGGGAGGGGTAGGGGAAAGGAAAGAAGGGAAAAGAAAAAATATGAGAAGAGGAAAAACATGGAAACAAAATCTTTTTTTTTTTTTTGGTACCAGATATCGAACTCAGGTCCTTGTGCTTGTGAGGCAAGCAGCAGAACCACTGAGCTAAATCCCCGGCCTGGAAACAAAATCTTTGCAAATAGGGAAGGGTGGAGGGTGTGAAGGGAGGGCAGGGGAAGGGGGAAAAAAAATAAGAACCAAGATGCTCATGTAATGGTACAAGATCCCAATGATGTATGTAAATGTATTTTATACCTAAAATGTACAAATAAACTTAATGGGGGAAATAAAAAAATAAATAAATAAATGACATAGGTTTGATAGAGTTCATTTGCCTGAAATTAGGAAAGTGTCAAACTTACACTTTACTTTCTATTCTTTCTTGGTCACTGATCATTTTGTTTTGTTTCTTAAATTAATATTTTGCTTTTGTTTACATGTAAATAATGAACATATCTTAGTAAATTCTACCTTTTTTTTTTGAAAAAACTGGCTTCTGGAAACTTGCATTATCTATATGATGCTGTTTTCTTTACCACATCATAAATCCACACATTCATCTTGAAATACAAGCCACCATCTTTCTCATAAAATCTAATGACCATCCTACAGTATTAGATTTCATAAACTAACTTTACTATTTCTAATAAAAATCTTTATAATCCCCCAGTTCAGTATTACTGCTTATTTTTGGTTAATGGTCAGCTCTTTTTTGTATGCTATGGTTCCTTTTTTTACATTAATATTTGAGTTAAAGTTTATACTAGGCACTCTGCTGAGTAATTTACATGGATTAATTTTCCCATTGACTTTTGAGGTAGTACCAATATCCCAACAATATGAATAAGACTAATGTTTACAAAGGACAAAATGCTATCCCAAAATTAGGGCTAGAAAATGGAAAAGGACTGGAGCCCAGAACTTTTTAGTGTTGGAATGAGTTCCTAATTCTGGATATGTATGCAGAGAATTAGATGTACACTGACATGCAGGCTTTGGAAGGCAGTGTGGAACAAGGAATTGGGGGTCAAGATCTTTTAGGCTATTTTGAGGAATGTGTGTGTTAACCTAAGAACTATGGGATGTCATTGGGGGATTTTAAGGAGAAATTATATGATTAAAATGTTTACATTCAAAAATACAAATTTGGTTGGACTGTGGACAACTGACAGGCAATGGTGAACACAGGGAGACAAAATAGAAAGCTATTTTCATAAGGATCTAAGTTAAATAATGTATATTGGGCAAAGATGATGAAATGCAAACAGATTAATGGGATCAGATTATGGACAGATTTAGGAGATAAAACCTACAGGTCTTGGCAACTGATTGGATGGGGAAGGTGAGGGAGACGAGAAGGTCAGTAATGCTTCCATAGTATGAATTTTCTCATGATGAGCAAGGTGTGCACGTTGCCTGAAAGATTTCCTGCAATCTTTACATTCATAGGGTCTCTCTCCAGTATGAATTCTCTGATGTAGAGTAAGAGATCCACTATAGCTGAAGGCTTTCCCACACACATTACATTCATAAGGTTTCTCTCCTGTGTGAATTCTCTGATGCTGAGCAAGGCCTGCATTCTGGCTAAATGTTTTCCGACATTCCTTGCACATATAGGGTTTTTCTCCAGTATGACTTCTCTGATGCTGTGCAAGAGATGAACTGTTGCTAAAGGCTTTCCCACATTCAACACATTCATAGGGTTTCTCCCCAGTATGAACCCTCTGATGTTGATCTAGGTATGCAACCTGGCTGAAGGCTTTCCTACATACTTTACATTCATAAGGTTTCTCTCCAGTATGAACTCTCTGATGTTGGGCAAGGTGTGCATACTGGCTGAAGGTTTTTCTACATTCTTTACATTCATAGGGTCGTTCTCCTGTATGAATTCTCTGATGTACAATTAAGTATCCACGATGGCTGAAGGCTTTTCCACACACATTACACAAATAAGGTTTCTCTCCTGTATGAATTCTTTGATGTTGGGCAAGAAACGAACCATTACTAAAGGCCTTTCCACATTCAATACATTCAAAAGGTCTCTCTCCTGTATGAACTCTCTGGTGCTGAGTAAGATGTGCAATCTGACTGAAGGCTTTTTTACATTCTTTACACTGATAAGGTTTCTCTCCAGTATGAACTCTCTGATGTTGAGCAAGGTGTGCATTTTGACTGAAGGCTTTCCTACATTCTTTACATTCATAAGGCTTCTCCCCCGTATGTATTCTTTTGTGTTGAGCTAGGTTTGCACTCTGGCTGAAGGATTTCCCACATTCAACACATGCATAGGGTTTCTCTCCAGTGTGAATTCTCTGATGAAGAGTAAGGGATGAGCTCTGGTTAAAGACTTTCTCACATTCGTTACATTTCAAAAGTTTCTTTTCTACATAAACCTTCTTGTATTTCATTTCAATAGACTTTTTCCGGTAACTTCTCTTTTGTGATTCATGTTTACATGCTCTTTCTTTTGTAGGGAAATTCTGTTTTATATCTACTATTGCATCATGTTGGAATGTTTGCCAAGACTTATTATATTTATTACTTTGATCTTTAGGAAGGATTTCTTTATGCTTGATGATCAACTGACTAGAATGTACCTCCTGACTTCCCAACTTGTTCTCAAACCAGTCCTCAATTTCACAATTTTCTTTCAAATTGGGGTAATCAAGGGTATAACTAAGACGGCTTCTTCCCATTGTCACTACTTTGGCTGATTCTTCATAAATATCTTGCTCTGATGAAAATTCGTTGGTTTTAAATACATCCTCCCAATCTAAAAGACATTAAGAAAACAAATATCTATTGTATTTATTCATTATAAGTTAAGGAACTTCCAAAACAAAACTAGGAGAATAAAATACAAAAGAAGTTCAAGGATTTAACAGCTTTTAAAGCAGTCTGAAAACTATGAGGTTAAAAGTAATAAGAGCTTAACAAAGCTGACTGAGGAAATAAATTAATCATACATAGGGCCAGGGATTTAGCTCAGTGGTGCCACCACCTGCCTTCTTGTAAGCACAAGATCCTGAGTTCGATGCCTGGTACCAAAAAAAAAAAAAAATTAATCATACATAACCAGTAAGCTGTATATCAGAAAAAAACACAAAAAACTGAAAGGTCACCTGAAATTATCATTTTATATCTAAGGTAACTGTATAATCTTCCAACACCTTTCCTCTCTTGTTGCAGATTCCTGCATTCAACTTAAGTTAATTACCTTTAAAAAGCAAATTTTTAAATTAATCATATATAACCAGTATAACACTTTCATTGGACCCCTAGACCTAAAATTACATCAGAATGTACATGAAACTCTCTAGTTAAACTTTTGCAGAAAATTCTTCATGAAAAGCATTTTCTTTGTGATAAATTCCAACTAAATATAACCTTCAATTGACTGAAGTTAATTTTGTATCAAATACCTTGCCTGTATTTACACAGGATTAATCTTCTGCCTTCCATTTTTTAGTCCCAAATCAAAGCACTTTCCTTTTTTTTTCTTTTCAGTAATTAGGATTAAACTAAGGGCCAAGGGCCTTGCACATGCTAGGCAAACATTCTACCACTGAGCTACATCTCCAGCCATTTGCTTATTTTCAGGTACAGTTTTGGTAAATTGTCCAAGTTGGGTGGGATTATAAGCATGCACCACTAGGCCTGGCTTCAGATCATCTCATTCTTATACTTGCTTCCACCACTTTAGCCAAATGGGTATTCATTTCATTCCCACTTTAAGAGCACTACATTTGCTTTTCTTTGTCTGGAAGACCTGTGCCTCAGTATCTGCTTTATGCAATCCATTAATGTACTTTTTCACTTGAGGTTCTGCTTACAAATTACCTCTTCACTATGACCTTCCCTGACCACCCAGTGTAAAACAGTACATTCTCATCATTCTCCATTCTTCTGCCTCAGTCTTATTTTTTTTGGTACTGGGGATTGAACTCAGGTCCTTGCCCTTGTGAGGCAGGCATGGTGCCACTAAGCTAAATCCCCAGCCCTGCCTTAGTCTTATTTAACATATTACATGTTAATTTACTCTCTGTCCTCACCAGAATATAAACTTTCATGTACAGGAACTTTATTGTTTTTTACCCTTGGACATATATCTCCTAGAACAGGTTGGGCATCTTGGTATCTACAGAATAACGAACTCATAATACATGAAATATCATGGTAACTCATCTTCTCAGAATGATTTGCTTGCATGAATGGGGTAAGTGGCTGAAATTAAGAGGAATATTACCACTGAACTGGATATGATATCATAATAGACAATAAAATTAGATAGGAAAAAATTCTAGAGAAAATATACTTGAGACACTAAATCCTGCCTCAATGCTCTTCCAAACTCTGCCCTCCCCTCTAACCACACAATTACAAATCACACTGATGAGCTTCTCCTGGAAAGTCAACATGAAGATGAAATCCTGAAGGCTCATTAGTAGAGAGTATGAAATAAATGACGTTAAGGTAGCACTGAACCTAGTTAAATGAAGATTTAGTTGATAAAACTGTGACAGGAAAGTACAAATGTAAATATAGTAATTTCTAATATCCTCATTAGACTGGAAAGTTTATATATTATAATCATTATAGCAATGATTCTCAAATTTTAGAGTACATCATAATTACCCGAACTTGTTCAAATAAATTACCATGCCCCATGCATGGAATTCTAATTGAAATCTGCATTTATTTATTTATTTATTTTGATACTGGGGATCAAACTCGGGTCCTTACGCTTGCGAGGCAGGTGGCGGGACCACTGAGCTAAATCCCCAGCCCTATATGCTATATGCATTTATTTTTACAAAATGTTTATTAGTATATGTGTGTGATACATAATGAATATATTCATCATGGGGAGAATCTACATTTCTAATGAGTTCCCAGTGGATGCTGCTGGTCCCAGATCATATTTTGAGCACTACTGCCCAACAGTATCCACTGAAAGTATAATATAAAAACCTATACTAGAATATCCCCAAATAAATCAAAATTCTAAAAAATATTTGAAGTCAAAAAGATAAGAAGGGAAAAGAGGCAGATGTAATGGCACATGCGTATAATCCTGTACTCCCAAGAGGCTGAGGTAGGATGATTGCTGCAAGTCTCAACGGCATATTGAGTTGAAGGCCAGCCTCAATTACATAGTGAGACCCTATCTCAAAAAACCAAAAGGGCGGGTGGTGTACAAATAAAAATATGAAAAAAAATTGAATGGTAGATTCAAATAAAATTATATAAATAATTACATAATTATATAAAGTAATTACAGTAAAAAGTAATTATATAAATAATTACAGAATGAGTATCTCCTATTCAAAATGCCTGGGATGGAAAGAGTTTTGGATTTCAGATTTCTTTTAGTACTTTGGAATATTTCCATATTGATAATGAAATATCTTAGGAATGGGTCTAAAGTCTAAAACACAGTTTGTTTATTTATTCATTTTATTGTCATTATTATTTTTTGGAGACCGAATCTTGCTATATATCCCAGGCTGGCTTTGAACTTTCAATCCTCCTGCCTTAGCCTCTGAAGTGCTGGGATTACAGGTGTGTGTCCCCATGCTCAGCTCTTCATTTTGATTCACATATACCTTATACATATAAAATGGATGTAATTTTATATAATATTTTAAATAATTTTTCAGGTAAAATAAGTTTTATAGTGTGAAATTTTCCACTTGTATCAAAGAATTTCAGAGTTTGGAGCCTTTCCGGTTTTGGGATTAGGGATGCTCAAACCGTGTATTACATATCAACTACATATCCACTTAAAAGGTATTGAATGAATTAAAAAAGGAAGACCCAATGCTGTCCACAGAAAACTCACATTAAGTATGAGGATACAGTGCAAGTAAGTAAAAACCAGATAGATAAAGATACAGCATAGAATTGTAACCATCAGGCTAGAGTGCCTATATTCATATCAGATAAAATAAACTTTGAAACCAAAGTACAACCAAAGATAAACAGAACATGCCATAATGATAAAAGGGTCAATTCATCAGGGAGAAGAAATAATTACTAATATATATGCATCTAATACAGAGCCTCAAATAAAAGAAAAATTGGCAATTTAAGTAACAAATAGGCAACTCTATAATCATACTAGCTAACTGTAATATAAGTTGCTCAGGAATTGACAAATCTAGATAAAAAGTAATAGATAGAGGAACTCAACAGGATTAATGATGCTGATCTAATTTATAATGATAGAACCATATACCCAACAAACCTGTACAACAAGTATTTATGTGTGATCAGTAAAACAGACCATATCCCAGACCATAAGCCACGTGGCAATAAATTTAAAAGTACTAAAATCAAAGAGAGTATGTTCTCTAATCTCAACGGAATCAAATAAAAAATAATAATGTGTAGTAAATATCAAACATATATAAATTAATCCATTTCTCTATAATTCATAGGTAAAAGAGTATAACAGGAGAAATCAGCAAATATCTTGGAGTGACTGATAATGATAATGTAACATATCAAAATTTCTTGGATATAGCTTATACAGTACTTAAAGCAAAGTCTATAATTTTAAAAGGCTTATATTAAAAAAAAACCTAAAAGTACAAAAATCAAGAACCTAAGGTGTCACTTCAAAAAAGGAGGAAAAGAAAAGAAAAAGATGATGTGAGAAAAAAGGAGGAAAAGACCAAAGTAAACTCAAGGAAAGTAAACAGAAACAAAAAAGCTAAGTAGAGAAAATAGCAAATTAAACAGTCAACAGAGAAAAGAAATCATGAGTAGGCTCTTAAAAAAGATCCCTTATCAAGAAAAAGCAGAAAACAGAAATCAGCAACATCAGAACTTAAATAGAACTTATTATGCATCTTATAGACATTGAAAAGATAAGAATACTATAAACAACTCATGTTAATAAACTGGGCAACTAAGACAGTTGTACAAATCTCTTAAAAAAAATACATCCTACCAAAGCTAATTCAAGACAAATTAGATAACTGGAACAACTATATGCCCAGTAAACCTGTTACATAAAAAGATACTATTGTCACAGATGTCTTCACTGGTGCATTCTACCAGAAATTCAAGGGAGAGATAATAGCACTCTACCTAACTTTTTCACAAAACAAAAAACTTCTCAACTCGTTTTCATAAGGCCAGCATTATCTTGATACTGAAAACAAATAAAGAAATTGCAAGAAAGCAAACCTACAGACCAATGTAACACATAAGCATGTGAAAAAATTTTAATAAAACTATAGCAAATCCAGGAATACATGAAAAGCATAATTTTGATCAAACAGAATTTCTTCTATCAGTATGGTTTATATCTGGATGTCCCCCCTGTCATGTGCTTAAGACAGAGATTTTGAAAGATGATTGGATTATGGGGCTTTATAGCTGGCTTGCTGTTAGGAGGTGGGATTTGGTAGGAGGAGTTGGGTCACTGGAGGTGTGCCTGGAAGGGTTTATCTCCCTTCTTGGCTCAGCCCTTCACACTCTTCCTCCTGTTGCCATGCCATGAGATGTTTCTCCTTTGCCAGGCCCCTCTGCCATGCCCTAGTACCTTGGAACCATCTGACAATGGACTGAAACCACTACACACTGTGAGCAAAATAAATCTCTTCCTTTAACTTGTGCGTGGGGGCATTTTGTTCCAGCGGTGAGAAAAATATGACCTTCATGAATATAAGATTAGTTTCATACTTGAAAATCACCAATGTAATTCACCATATTAACAGAGTAAAGAAAAAAAAATCACAGGATCATTTCAATAGATGTACAGCAAATATCTGACCCATTTATTATAAAAATTCATAGTGTTTCAAGAATGGAAAGGAACTGCTTCAATTTTATCAAGGAGATCTAAGAAAAATCTATAGCTTGTATTAACATAACAGTAAAAAATAAAATACGTTTCTTCTTAAGATTGGTACAACACAAGTATATCTGTTCTTTCCACTTCTTTTCAACATTATACAGGAGGTGCTAGTCATTGCCATATACTGAGAAAAAAGAAGGCAGGTATCGGAAAGGAAAAAATAAAACTCTGTTTGCAGGTGGCATAACTGTCTATACAAAAAATTCTCAAGCATCTACAAAACAACTGCTAGAACTACTACTAAGTGAATCTAGTGAGGTCATGAGATATAAATGTCATAAGATATAAAGTTAATATAAAGATCAATTTACATTTTTTGCATATGAGCAGTAAACTACTGGAAAATTTAAAAAACTCTTAACTGTTTTCTCTTTTTTTTTTTTGGTACCGGGCATCGAACTCGGGACCTTGCACTTGTGAGGCAGGCACCAGAACCACTGAGCTAAATTCCCAGCCTTAAAAACTATTTGAAACAGCACCCTAAAACCATAAGACTCTAGAAAGAATGTGTAAAAGACAAGACCACTACATTGGCTACTTTAAAATAGTCTTAAGAGAAATTAAAGAAACCTATAATAAATGGCTTATCATAATATATTCATGGACTAGAAGAATCAATGTTAAAATGTCAATCTTCCACCAAATGTATAAATTCAACATAATCCCAACCAAAATCCAAACTTTTAAGTAGAAAGTCTCAATTTCATTCCAAAACTTATGTAAAATGTAACTTAATCTAAAATAGTCAAAGCAATTTTATAAATAGCACTATCTGATATCAGAATTTACTCTAGAGCTATAGTAATCAAGACAGTGTGGTTCTGGTGGAAAGATAAATATGTGAATCAATGGAACAGAATATAATACAGAACCAGAACCACACATATGTATTCAACTATTTTTAGCGAAGGTACCATTGTAATACAATGGGGAAGAGAAATTCTTTTCCAACAAAGGGTACTGAAGAAACAGCATACTAATAATGAAAAAAAAATGAGCCTCAGTCTTTACCTCATAAAAAACATCAAAACTAGCTCAAACTGCATCACAGACCTAAATATAAAAGCTAAAAATATAAAACTGCTAGAAGAAAATCTTTGTGATCTAGCTGTAATAACAATTTCTTATAAATAAAATAGAAGCATTTAAACAAAACAAGTATTTCTTAGGTATAAGAAGCACTGACCAAGACAAATTAATAAATTAATTTTACAAAACTTGAAAACTTTGGTTCTGCCAAAGACAGCAGTAGAAAAACAAAAAGGCAACCCAAAATGGTCATACATATATTCTAGTGTATATAAAATGAAAAGAAATTGTTTTAAGCCTATTCAGAACTCTTACAACTGAATAAGACAACCCAATAAAACAGAGGCAAAAGACTTGAACAAACAGTTCATGAAATATAGATTTATGACCAATAAACATATAAATGGTGCTCAACATATTACTTAGCATCAAAATGCTTCTTAAAACCACAAAACAAGCTAGGCATGGTGGTACACACCTATGATCCCAGCACCCTGGGAGGCTGAGGCAGGAGGATCAGAAGTTCAAGCCCAGCCTGGGCAAGTCAGCAACTTAGTGAGACCCTGTCTCAAAATAAAAACAAAACAAAGCAAAGCAAAATAAAAAACAATAAAAAGGGTCAGGGATGTATATCTGTGTGAAGGTCCTGGGTTCAATCCCCAGTAGTGCAAAAAGCAAACAAACAAACACAAAAATGGAAGAACAAACCACAAAGCAACCATTAGAATGACTAAAATTTAAAATAGTACTGACAAGGGCCGGGAATTTGGCTCAGTGGCACTGTGCCTGCCTCAAAAGCACAAGGTCCTGAGTTCGATCCCTGGTACCAACACTAAATAAAACAAAACAAAAAAATAGTACTGATAAAACCAAGAGTAGGTGAGGGCATGAAGAACCTGGAATGCTCATATATCGCTAGAGGAAATGTAAAATTGTACAATCCCTTCAGAAAACCATCAATTTCTATAAAGTTAATCATATGACTACCATATGACTGAATTTAGAAAAATTAAAATATATGTCCACATAAAGTCCTACACGTGATAGCCTCAGAGCAGCTTTATTTATAATATTCCCAAACTAGAAACAACCAAATGTCCATCATCAAGTGAATGGATAAATAAGAACAGATAATGTATTTATCTGTTCACAGTGAATACTATTCAATGGACTACTACTCAGCATTAAAAGGAATCATCTATTCAAACATGCAACAGTGTGGATGAATTTCAGAATCACCATGCTAAGTGAAGTAAGCCAGATATAACATAAGCCACATTGTATGATGCCATTTATTTTAGATATAATCTAATCTAATGGGAGGAAGATCATTTGGCTGGTTGAAACTGGAGGTGCAGGTGGACTGCAAATGATACAAGCAATCTTTTTAAATGATTCTAATGTTATGTGTCTTGCTTGTGTGATGGTTTCATGAGTATATGCCAGTGTCAAAATTCCTCAAATTGTACAATTTGTATGGATCCAGTTTACTCTCTATATATTCTTTGATGTTAACACTATCAGTTCAACTACAATAAAAAAATCTGTTCAAAATACAACAAAACCAGAATGATCTCTTTTAAACAACTCCAGTAAAGGGCAAATTTCAAACTGTAGATTATATAGGAAACAGAAATAATAAAAGAACTAACAGAATCTTCCACAAGAGACAGGTGAAGAAAGAGGAAAATTCATAGCCCTTAATAATTTCATTACTGAAAAAAAGAGAATTAAATTAACTGATTTTTTTTTTTTCAGTACCAGGGATTGAACTCGGGTCCTTGAGCTTGTGCAGTAGGCGGCGAAACCGCTGAGCTAAATCCCCCGCCTAAATTAACTGATTAACCTTTCCCTTCAGCAAAATGAAGAACAAAATAAATGACAAAATAGATGGAAAATTAATAAAGAAGCAAAAATAACTGAAAAACAGAAGAATGTTAATACTAACAAGATAAATCCCTAAGCTGGGCCTTGAAAAATAAATGAATAAAACCAATTTATGAGTAGCAACCTAATAAATTCTTTCAAAAAATAATAACTATACAAAATAAGAAATTAAAATTGGAAACTATTATAAAAGTAATACAAAGGATTATAAGAGATCACTGTTCAAATTCATGGAAATAAATGTGATAACCTAAATGAAAAGGATAATTATCTAAGAAAATTAAAATGCTAAAATTTAATAAAAAACAGAAACTACAGAGAGGTAGTTTATTTACAATGTAGGATGCTGAGAAAGTTGTCAAAGTTTTTTTTTTTCACAAACTCCTCAGTATCTGACTTTACCTTTTAAACTCTTAAAACTGGTGATATCCATTCCCACTGACATCTCTAAATTAGAGTGCTACTCTGAGCCTCTCTCCTAGTCCCGTTGTATATTCTACTTCTATGCTTAGAAATCTTCATATCTCATAAAATAAATTTCTCCTGTCTCCAGCCAATTTATCTTTTTTCCCCCTACTAACCTATTTTCTTCTGATTGTTTTATTAAATGCCATCTTCATCCAGTTACCAGACATGAAAATAAAACTAGAAATGCTTTCTTTTTCTTTGGTGGTTTACAAACTTCTGAATAATTCCAAGAATTTAGCAGGATGCTGGGCTTAAAGCAGAAACTCAGGGAAAAAATAAATGAATAAATGTAACGATCCCTGAATCTAAAAGGAATGAGTAACTGGAAGGAGAAAATAAATGCAGATTTTTAAAAAATGGAATGAGTCAACTTGTACAAAACTAAAAGGTAAAGACAAGGAAACACTATGATATTTGGACCCATAGAACTGGAACACAGGTTAACAGAGAAGTTGATAATTTGTGAGACAATACAGACAAAGAAAATACATTAGAGAGCTCACGGTAGAGATACCTCAGGGTTTCTTCTCAGGCCCTGCACATTTAATAAAACCTACCTGGAAAGCACCACATATAAGCTAGAACCTTTCAGAATAGCTAAGCTCTTCCTGCAATGGTATGTACCTTCCTAGTTTTCTCTCACTTACCAGGGCATACGTCTCCTGTTCCTTCCTTCATCATCCAGGGCTCTTTTCCTTGTTCCAGTAATGAGATCACATCCGGCTTAGAAACAGAAACTCCTGCTTACAAGAAAGAAAAGAGGAATTAGCCACATCTTGTAGATCAGATCAAGTTCTTTGGGTGTCAGGAAGATGTGGGCATTAAAGGAGGGAAGAATGGGGAATATGTTTCAGGAATCATCTAATGAAGCTAACAACTGTGCAAAACTCAACTCAACCTATTCTCCAGAGCACAAGAGCTTTTGTTTTTGTTTTTAGAGGGATTTTGCTGTGTTCCTCAGGCTGGCCCTGAATCCTGAGTAAAGCAAACCTTCTGTCTCAGTCTCCCAAGTAGATGGGACTACAGGTGTGTACCAGTACACCCAACTTAAGAAGGAGAAATTTAGTTTAGGAAGCATGTGGGAGGCTTTCCAAACATATCACTGGGACACAATCCTCTGTGCAGATTCTAAATCATGGGGAGACTTCCTTACCCAGTGATACCAGGCTCCTATAGTTCTCCAACATCACCTTCCTGTACAAATTCCTCTGCACAGGGTTCAGCCATTCCCACTCCTCTTGAGTGAAATTTATAGACACATCCCCGAAGGTGACCAAATCCTGAAAAGACAGAAACACATTCTTGCTCAACTCATGTTCAAATCCTCACACAGGTCTAGGTTACAGTGAAACTGTCTATACTTTTGAAGAAAGATCTTGCATATAGCAAAAATTTCAGGGAGGATCCAATGTATGTCAAAGAACTGTTAGAGGACTTCTCTGTTCTTGTTCTGATATTCTGTCATGAAAAATATATAATTTCAAAGAGAATCTTGACTGGCAGACAAAAGACTTACAATACATACATATATGAACACAACTGGGCAATAACTGAACACTGTAACCAATAAAGTATAAAACAATAGGTTATTCACACTAAATGCCACAGCGTTTCTCAATTTGGGGAAATCAGGATACACTGGGGCAGTAAAGAAGATTATTACATAACAAGTAATGGATGCACATTACCTTAAGTAACCACTAAAAGATTTTTTAAAAATTATGTATGATTAATAAGAAAATGAGAGGATGCCTTATTTATCCAAAAGAAGGCAAAAAAGAAATAAAGGAATGAAAAGCAGATGGCATAAGTGGAAAACAAATATCATAGGTTTTAATACACATCTATATGTAATAACATTAAATGAAAATGTACTAAACACTAATTAAAAGACCAAGATCATCAGGCTAGATTTTTAAAAGCCAGCCAACTATATACTATTTATAGCAAGCATACTTTAAATATATACTTTTTGGGTAGAGTTTTTTGAAAGGTATGCATTAAAATTTCTTTGGGAAACTCAACAGGGCATACCACCAAGAGACTGTGATTCAGGCAGCCTAGATGGGGGTCTGGAAACAGCACTTGGGTTGACAGGCTTGATCCACTCTGCACATCATGCATTCTGCTTTCTTCTTCCTCCTTTACCAAGTCAGAGGCATGAAACAGGTGGCTGTCCCCTACTGTCCTTGTCTGACTTGTGGATGAAGAATTCATTCCTTTATTCATTCATATATTTATCTGGCAAATATTTACTGACTGCTACAACCTACTGGACACCATTCTAAGTGTCAGAAATACAAAGATACAAAAGAAAGTACCTTCCCTTGGAGAGTTAAAATTCTACCAAAGGAGAAACACATAAAACATAAGGTCATACCATACTAGGTATTATAAAATATTAGGACCAAAACCAGGAGGGTGAAAGGTGACTGAGAGCGACAGAGGTGTTTACTGTAGCTAAGACAGTCAAGGTAGGCCTAGATGAAGAAGTAAAGGTATTCAGATAAATTGAAAGGTAAGCCATGCCAACGTCTAGTGGAGGGGAATTCAAGAAGAGAGGGGAGAACATGCAAAAGTTCAGACAGGAGCTTTTTAAGTTTGAGGAACAGAAAATTGATCAGTGTGACCGGAATGAAGAGAGGCAGACGTGTGGTGAACAAGGTCTGAGACAGTGAGGAGCTGGGGACACAGGGCCTCGTAGGTTAGAGTGAGGGTTGGGTTTCATTCCACTACGATCAGAAGCGGAGGAAGGTATTAGGCTGGGAATGAAATGGCGGGCCCCACTGCAGCCTCTCCAGTTTCCATCCTCTTCAAATTATCACTGAGCACCGTCTGTTACTGACCCTCAGTGCATAGCACAACTCATTATATGTGATCAGTCATTACCTGGTGACATGGATGTGACACCTCCCACTTTTTCCTCATCTGTGAAATAAGCAACCTGGACAAGATCACCCCGTAATTTTCTTCCTGGTGTTATCACTTCATGGGCCTGGATCTGTCCTGTCCAATACACTGGCTACTAGCTACAGGTGGCTCTTTAAATTTAAATCAATTAACATTAAAAGTTCACTTTGATGTAGGTATGGTGGCACACACTTGTAATTCTAGCACTCAGGGAGGCTAAGACAGGAGGATCACAAGTTCAAGCTCAGCCTGGGCAATGCACTGACTTAGCAAAACCCTGCTGCAAAATAAACAAAAAATAACAATTAAAAAGATGGGAGATGTAACTCAGTATGAAAGCCTGAGTTAAATCCCTAGTACCACAAAAAAAATTTCATTTTGTCAGTCATTTTAGTACATACAAGTTTTCATAGCCAGTTATACAGACAAGTTTCATAGCCAGTGGCTAGTGGGTACAGTATTGGTCAGAGAGGATAAAGAACATTTCTATTTTCAATCATTACAGGTATAGTACTGCTGTACATGATTTCTGAATCTAATGTAACCTCTTTATAACCACTTCTATATTTTATAGCAGTTTTATTTATTTATTTTTTGTATGTGGTACACTGGGGATCGAACTCAGGATCTTGCACTTGCAAGGTAGGTGCAGTGCCACTGAGTTACATCCCCAGCCCAGTTTTATGGTTTTTAAGAATATCGAGCCTACAGAATCTCTGAGTGTGATGAAAAAATGTTTTTACTCATTGAATAATCCGTCTTTTCCCTGCCAATTAAAAATTATACCAGTATATACTTACATAAGCAAAACATACTAAATTCTGTGAAGACAATGTCTATATTTATTTGCCACAGCACTTGGCATTTGTTTTTTAATAACTATATGTTCAGTGAATAAATAGTTCCACTCCTATCGATGTTAATACTTGTATTTATTTCTTGGCATTACATATTCATCTTTTCATTTGTTTCTGCTGGGTCCCAGTCTACATTTTATTGTTTTCTTTGTTAGTTTCAAAAAAATGTAGATTCAAGTATTTCCTTTATTACTTTCTTTTGCAGAAAATATCCTTCTGTTTCTTCATATTAATTCACCAATCTTAACTGGCTAACGTAGAATATCATAGCTGTGGCCTGCTATTAACTCATGATGTCCCTAAAATGAAACCTCACTACTCTCTCAAATCCCACTCTTCAAAGGTCATACAGCATCTAGAAGAATCACTGCCTTAGCTAACCTACACTTTAATATTCACCCAGATAAATCTCATTCCACAAAATCATCTTGAACAAGAGAACTCACTGTAATCTATGATTAAGTCTACCCAATGGCCCTCCTGCTTTGCCTATCCTTCAAACACAGGTCATGGAGAGCTCAATGCCAGCATTCACACCAGAACACCTCAACATCAATGAGTCACTTTCCCACAATGAAGGTTTTCATATTCCACCCAGGATTTTTGCCTCATGAGAGCTCTTAACTGAACACTGATCCCATAGGAGGTGACAAATTAATTCCTGAATTGATGAAAAACTAGCTAGGGGAAAAAGGAAGCTTGTGGGCTTTTCAGGACTTCCTTTTTTTTCTGGAATGGAAGCCATGAGGAGGAAGGTCACTGGATAAATGAGATAAATTGTCAGGATAGGAAGTTTCAGAAGAAAACCAAAATGTTCATAAAACCTGAAAAATAAGATGGCATTCAGGGAAGAAAGAAGAAACACTTCTTACCTTGGACATGGCTTTAAGATTTTAAGGATTTATGACAGTTCTGTCCTCCTCTTTCAAATTCCTCTATGGGAGGACAGTATCCTGAGAAAGTAGGGCTGGAGAAGAAAAAAGAAACCATAAAGCGCTAGGCCTTCCCTGAAGCTCCCCAGCATCACAGGGCTAGAAACCCTTCTTACTTTCTTTTTCCTCTTCTCCTTCCACCACAGAGGTAGATTTGAAGTGTCACTGAATGAAGTTATTTCAACTAAATTTACAATCCTTTTTCCCATGTGCTTTATATCTAAAGACTACAACCTATATTTTGTTCATAACTTATCTCCTCATTTATATTTATGAACAATAACAGCAATTACAGAATGGTATTACCAAGCAAGGTTTTTCCACCCTTTCATGAATGAAGGTGTTCCACTGGTGAAATTATCCAAGGTCTTATGCTAATAAATAATTGAGCCAAACTAGAAACTAGGTCTAAAATTTTACTATTTCTATAAGGTGATGATGATGAAATGAAATATGTCTCCACACTTTCTACAGAGATGAGAGATAAAATTATCAAGTAATGCCTTAGAGAAAGCATCTTTACACAAAGTGCATGAGAAGAGCCATGTGATCTGGAAGACGCTGGCTAGACCAGAGTCAGGACAGCATGCTTCTGGTTCTGCCTCACAATAAAGTCCATCTGAAAACCAAGCCCTTGACTTTTTCTGAGCAATTTCCTCGGAGAGAGAGAGAGAGAGAGAGAGAGAGAGAGAGAGAGAGAGAGAGAGAGAGAGAGAGGTGGGGGGTGGGAGGCACAGGATATACACGAACACTCATCAGAACCTTTTAACCATTGAGTTCTTTTCCTGTGGACCTTACTGCCTAGAACAACAAAGCATTTAGGAACCAGCAACTTAGTGGTAAGACACCCTATCTCTGGGGATAAGACCACCTAAGTTCAGTCAGACCACTAAACACAAGCTCTGTTCACATAGTCACAACCTCAACACACAGTTTCACATGGTCCCACACCATTACACATGCTCAGTGTCTCAATCTCGAAGGGTAAAACAACCTCACACATAGAGTAGCGGCAAGGGCTTACTGTCAGTGTCACATGCATCCCCCGCAGCTTCACTCTCAGGGCTGCTCACACATGGTGGCCTGGTCTCACGCCGTGACACAGCCTCAAAGAGTCACACGTTGTCACAGGCTCCACACACAGGTCTCAAACTGCCACACTGGATGTCACATTCCGTAGCCTCAATCTCAGGCAGTGCTGTCTCACACTGACACGATCTCATCCCATTACACAGAGTCCCGTGTGCTATTTACACAGTTACACACTGCCACGGGCTGTCACAAACGGTAGCATGGTCTCCCACCGTCACGGGCCACACGGTCCTCCTCGCTGTCGCTTCCACAGTCACAATCTGTGGTTGCACACCGTGGCGAGGTCTCACACTGTCACACCCCGTCACATCCCCACACGGCCCCGTTTTCTGCGGGATCCCCAGGTGGTTTGCCTGTCCTCACGCACGCACCAGCCAGCCCTTGCCACCTCCTCCGCCGCAGGCCGGAGGTCTGGCTCCTCTAGCGCCGGCCGCGCTCACAAAGGCTCTGCGCGCTTGCGCATGAGGCGGGCAGCGCAGGGGCCGCTGGGAAGTGCAGTCTGGCACGGGGCGGCCGCGCCTGGGTGGGCGGCTCAGACTGCGCAGGTGCGGTGGGCTCTCCCCTGCGTTGGCAGGCCGGCTGCGCGTCGCGAAGGGTTGTGTGCGCGTGCGTGGTGCTGGCCACGCTAGGCAACAGCGCTGGCGGCACAGCTGTGTTTAAGGTCTCGCTACCGTGGTGTGCTTTCTGTTTCTTTTCTGCCTAACCCTTTGATTTGTTGTTTATTGAGGGCTTGCAGTGTATCAGGCACTTTTGTGAGCTCTGGGGACACAACACTGGACAAGCAGACAAAAGTCCTGACCTTCATAGACCTAACATTCTTTTTTTTTTTTTTTTTTTTTTTTTTTTTGGTAACGGGGATCTAACTCGGGACCTTTCACTTGCGAGGCAGGCGGCGGAACCACTGAGCTAAATCCCCGGCCCCACAGGCCCAACATTCTTAACTCGAGAAGACTTAAATTGAAGAAAATGATACTGATATTTTGTTTATTTTACTGATACATGTTCTAGTTGTTTTGAGACAGGGTCTTGCTATGTAGCCTAAGCTGTCCTCAAACTTGCTGCGATCCACCCCTTTCAAGTGCTGAGATCACAGAAGTGCACCATTACTCCCAGTTTTACCCATACCTATTATAAAGGAAGAGAGATTAAGATCATGCGGTTATTTGCTGTCCTTTACATTATTCAACCTGTCTTTGATAATGTTTTATATCAACTCATATCCCTAGATTTAACTACCATTCATGTCTTAGGAAGTTGATTATTGCTTTGACTCACTGAAGTCACCAATGATAAACAATATATGAGCTAAAAACTTAATTTGGTATACCAAAAAAATGCAGTTACGAGCTGGGGATTTAGCTCAGTGGTTCCGGTTCCTGCTACGCGAGCACAAGGTCCCGAGTTCGATCCCTGGTACTCCCCCCCCTCCCCCATGCAGTTATATTCACAAAGATAACTAAAATGCGATGAAGTTGAACAAATATGGCTAAAAGTAGAAAATGGTCAAATAAGTAACTAGAAAATAATTTTTAAACAAACGTGTGACAAGCGTCAAAATACTTTTAGGTTATTTTATTTTAAAGGTGGAGCAAAGCTGTATTAAGACCAGTCCCAGAGAACTGTTCCTGAGTGTAAAGAAGGTATACAATCCACAAAAATTGTAGTTGGTTATGTTTGAAATGATGATCATTTACTTGATTTTTCAAATCATACTCCTAAACTGTGAGTTACTTTTAGGGTTTTTAAATCTTCCCCCATTTCAAAAATATATAGAGATTGGGCTTTACACTGAAGAAGCTAGACTGTAACATTTTAATTAATTAATTTGTTCATTTTTTTTGGAGACAGGATCTCACCAAGTACCGGTATCTCTGAACTCACTATGTAGCTCAGGCTGGCCTCAAATTTGTGGTGATCCTCCTGCCTCAGCCTTCCTAGTGCTAGGATTACAGGTATGCAGCACCACACTGGGTTTAGATTGTAACATTTTTTTCAACCATTATCTCAAGCCTCTTGCACTGACAGAATCCTGTATAAATCTTAGTAAGCCACTAAATGAATTAAATTTTCTTTAATTGCATTAAAAACCATATTCATCCTCTTACATGGATAATCAGCAGATGTCTGCCTATCATCTCAAAGTTTATTGAAATAGTCTATGCAAAATCCCAAGTTGTAGAGATAACACAAGAAATCCACAGAGAAAGCCCCATTAAAATTTTTTTTGGCTTGCACCTGCACAAGGAAAATGCAATATGTTTACTTTGTCATAGGTTAGTATTGGAGCAAATTTAAGTCTGTGATCCATTTTGAATTACCCTCACTCCACCCTTGGCATGGACATCCAGTTGTTCCAGCACTGTTTATTGAAAAGACTACACTTCCTCCACTAAATAGTTTTTATACCTGTTGAAAATCAGAGGAAGGTGGGCATGCTGGCATTCTCCTGTTATCCCTAGCTCTCTGGGAGGTTGAGGCAGAAAGACTACAAGTTTAAGCTCAGTCCGGGAAATTTGGCGATTTAGTGAGACCTTAAAATAATAAATAACAAAGGGCTGGGAATGTAGCTCAGTAGTGCAAGCCTGGGTTCGATCTCCAGTACTGCAAAAAAAAGTCAGTGGAGATATCTGATAAGGACTCGTATTTAGAACATGGAAAGAACACCGAGCAACTCACCAAAAAAATATAAATAGGCCAGGCATGGTGGTGAAATAGGAGGTAGGGCATGGCAAAGCTGGCTGGGCAAATAAGCGGGATCTGTTCATTGTAAGACCCCAGGACACTGCAAAAGAATTCTCAGGACTGTATATGTGGAACTTCCTGTGGGATCCCACAAGATGTGGGGGACACAAAAGGACACAGATGACACAAGGACCCCACTATCATGACTCTTCATGGTAGCTTACTTGTCTTCTAGACCAGGATGCATTTTTAATTTTTCTTCTTTCCTCTTTTGTGTGACTCAATTTCACCCTGCAGAGCCAGTTTTTTCCTTACCTCATCACTCCCCACTTTTCAAATAAACTTTTGGTGTCGTTTTTGGCTTGTCTCATCCAATTCTTTGTTTAAGGCAAGAAGGGCCTGGAAAATATTTAACTGGTGAGGCATTTCTAAAGGAATTACCTATAACAGTGGTACACACCTGTAATCCCAATACTCAGGAGGCGGAGACACAAAGACTTCCACGAGTTTGAGGCCAGCCTCGGCTACATAGTGAGTCCATGATCAGCCTGAACTATAAAGCAAGATCCTGTCTCAAAAAGCCATAGGAACTGGGCGAGGTGGTGCATGCCTGTAATCCCAGCACTCAGGAGGCTGAGGCAGGAGGATTGCTGTGAGTTCGAGGCCAGCCTGGGCTACACAGTGACTTCAGGGCCAGACTAGACTACATAGTGAGTCCCTGTTGCAAAACAAACAAACAAACAAACAAACAAAACAAAACAAAAAAGCCATAGGAAAAAATAATAAAAATACAAAGAGTACATTTTTAAAATGGACAATGGACTTGAATAGATGTGTCTCCAAAGAAGATATATAAATGGTTTATAAGTACATGAAAGGCACTCCACATCGTCAGTCAGTGGGGAAAGGCAATTGAACCATCATGGCACACCACTTCATGCCCATTAGGATGGAGCGAATATAAACGATAAAGAGTGTTGGCAAGGATGAAAACAAAATGGAACCCTCACACACTTCTGGTATGAATGTCAAATGAGGCAGCTGCTTTGGGAAACATTCTAGAAGTCTTTCAACAAATTAAACACGTGGTCTGTTAGTTTGCTGAGGTAGCTGTGACACAATTCTACAGACTGAGTGTCAGAGCAACATTGAATTTATTTTCCCACATTCTGAAGGCTGGAAATCCAAGGACTGGTGTCAGCAGCTCTGGTTTCTCCTGAGACCTCCCTCCTACACTTCTTTCTGCTCTTCACATAGCTCATCCCTCTATGTCCGCACATCCAGGATGTCCTTGCCTCTTATAAATATCCCAGTCTTAATAAATTAGTGACACCCGAACAGCCTCACTTTAACTAAACCACCACATTAAGGACTCTTTCCAAATACATTACATTCTGAAGTATTGGGGTTGGGACTTCAGTATATGAATTGGAGTGAGGGGCATTCAGTCCATAACACGGGTTATCATATGACCCAGGAATTCCAATTCTAGGTTTATGTCTAAGAAAAACAGAACACATATAAATGCAAACACTAGTACACAAATGTTCACTGCAGAACTATTCGTAACAGAGTGGAAACAAATCAAATGTTCATATTATTCATTAAAATGCAACAAAATAGTTATACACGCGACAACGTGGATGAAACTTGACAATATTATACTAAGCATAGAAGCCAGTCACAAAAGACCACATATTGCATGCCTTTTTATATGAAATACCCAATATACTCATAGAAACAGAAAATAGATTAGTGGTTGCTTAGGGATGGTATGAGGGGATGGAGAATGGCCATTGATAGATACAAGGTTTCTTTTTGTTGTGATGTAAATGTTCTACAGTTAAGATTTTGGTGATGGTTATACAATTTGTGAAAATACTCATGAACTGTAGTTTTTTTTTTTTTGGTACCAAGGATCAAACTCCGGACCTTATGCTTGCGAGGCAGGCGGTGGCACCACTGAGCTAAATCCCCCCAGCCCCATGAACTGTACATTTCAAATGTGTAAATTGTGTGAATTATATCTTAATAAAGTTGTTAAAAACCACTTGAGATTATGAATTTAATTTGGGATTCTCTGTTCTGTTACATGGATCTGTCTGTACCTCTTTACCAATACCACATTACCCTGACTATAATAGCCATACAGTAAGTACTGACATTGGATGGAATGATTCCTCTCATTTTATTTTTGTCAAGACTCTCCTAGCTAATTTTTGAGCCTGTACTTTTTTTCTTTTTGGTACCTGGGATCGAACTCGGGTTCTTGCACTTGCGCAGCTGACAGCAAAACCACTGAGCTAAATCCCAACCCGAGCCTGTACTTTCCAATTAAACCATGATAAGTTTTCTAACCTTAGCTAAATCTGGGAAGAACTGAAATGTTTGTGATGTTGGGTGTTCCAATTCATTAACATGGTATAATCTCTCCATTTATTTGGGTCTTTAATTTCTTTCATCAGTGTTTTGCAATTTGCAGTGTCAGTACCTATACATACTTTGTTACATTAATATCCAGTATTTTATTTCCTTGGCTGCAAATGTAAGTTAAATTTCAGGCTTGACAACATTTTTAGTACAGGGAATTGTTGGTCAATTCTTGTTCACTTTTTTTGGGGGGGGGACCAGGTATTAAACTCAGGACCTTGTGCTTGCAAGGCAGGCGGCAGCACCACTGAGCTAAATCCCCAGCTAATTCTTGTTGAATTTATAGTCTGATGTCTTTCTGAACTCAAGTGATTCCTTCTAGGATCATTTGGTTTGTTTTTGTAGATTTCTTGGGTTTGCCTATGTGGACAATCATCTGCAAATAGAAAGTTTTATTTCTGACTTGTACTCCTTTTTAATTTTCCAGTATGTTGAATAAAGCGGTGAGATAAAGTGTTTTATCAACATTACAGGTACAGCATTCCATTCTTCACCATTAACTGTGATGTTAGCTCTAAGTTTTCTGTAGGCAAAGGGAAGCTGAAAGGTTAGGAGGCCATAAAAGACACAGCCTCAGCAACCTTTATTTTCTTAAAGCTAATGTGAGAGAGGTAGGTATTTGTGAAGGAATGATAACCTGTACAATGGTTTTGCAGTCAGGGAGATCTTGCCCTGAGATGCTGTCTACCAAGTTCTTTACTCTGCCTTTTTGTCTTTCTCTGGCTCCACTTAATGAGAACCAAGGGAACCCGGACCACATTTGGAGACACTGGGTGTTCTGTGGTGTGTGTGTGTGTGTGTGTGTGTGTGTGTGTGTGTGTGTGCGCGAGCTGAGGATTTTACCCAGGGCCTTGTACATGCTAGGGAAGCACTCTATCACTGAGCTACACCCCCTGCTCTAGATGTGGTCGTTTGTGGCCTCTTTCTTTTGGCACTGGACACACTTTTCTCTTGCTAATTTCATGGTCAATTGGGTGCTCTGCTAAGTATGTGTGTGTAGTAGGTGCTGGAAGCAGGGAGTGACAGTAATGCATCCTGGGTTTGAGAATCTTTTTGCAGATGTGTTAGGTGTTTCTCTGAAAATAGTTTTCAAAAATTGAAATCTGTAAATACACTATTTTGAAGGTACTATGGTCTGAATGTCCTACTATCTATGTGTTAAAATTTAAACACTTTCCTGCTGCCTTCAAATTTCAAGGACGGCATATGCAAGGAAGGTGGAGTTGTACCCAAATAAGCACCTTAGAAACAAGAAAGTTATGAAATGCTAGAAAAATTCAGCAGGGGAAATATTAAACTACAGCTCAGTGCCAAATACAGGATTCAAAGTATAGCCAGTTAGGTCTTTTAAATGGAAAAGAGAACTAGTTCCTCATTTACTGAAAATCCTCCAGTGATTTTTATGGATGTGGACTTTAGTTCTCATATCCTTGGTATCCAGGGCCCTTTGAGGAGCCTTAGATGTCAAGAATACTTCTTGGAGACATGAAGGTAGCTGGGTAGATTGCCTAAATTAAGCCATGCCTGAAACCTATCTATACCTATACTTCTAGCTAGAAGGGACAATAAATGCTCTGAGTGTTTAAGCCAGTTAAGACCTTTACTCTTATCCCCACCTGTATTCATCTTAATTTATGTCATAACATTGTAGTTAAAAAAGCAACCCTAGACTGCACCTGAGAGGAAGTAAATGGAGAAAAGGAACTGAAAGTTCCTGATCTTTTTCTTTGGGTCACCTTTATTATCTATGTGCTCTCCTTATAGTGTATTCTGCCTAGCACAACAACTTTAGCAGTCTTTTCTCAAGAGCTGTAGTAGTCTCCTGGATTTCTGAGCCATAATTAAAATATTCTTCCACATATACAGCTTATAATGAAATTTACCTCTGTACACCTTCTTGGGTACAGAAGTGCTTGTATAGATTAATTCAGACCTCAGATCAATTTGGAGTTGTTTGTTTTGTTTTGTTTTTGGTCCCACGGATAGAACTCAGGACCTTGCACTTTCCAGGCAGGAAGCAGCACCACTGAGCTAAATCCCCTGCCCAATTTGGAGTTTATTCTTTTCCATGATGTAAGGTATGGATGCATACATAAACAGGCCATCTGATGGATTTCTTCGAATAAGCATCTTTTTTACTTGAAGCAAAACATTTATTGGTAAATTTTAGATACACATGATAACATTCACAAAGGGAATTTGTAACCTGTATGTGATATATCTTTCTTTTTGTCCCATTCCCCTGCTCCCTTTGACCTCTCTTCCCCTCATTTACAAAAGCTTTGTTTCCGTCTTTTCCTTCTATTTTCTTGGTCCTTCTTTCCTTTCCCCTTCCCCTCTCCTTTGCTCCCCTTCTCATTTGAACATTTTCTTCCCATTTCCCAATATCTATTACACACTTTGGTCCTTATTTAGAATAAGGATCTTTGCAGAAAGAAAATATTAGCTTCATTAACATCATTATCTTTATTAGAAGCAGCAGCTGTAAATTATTTTCCATATGTTAGCTCATTTAGTCACCCCCAAAACTCAACAAGCCCTATTATCATTTTCACTTTCAAATGTGGAAACTCAGGCACATTTCTGAGAATGGGCCTCAGTTATTTTGGCTCCAAAGTTCACACAGTAACTGCTACATCACCGAAGTCACATGGTCTGAGGAAAAGAGGATCAAATCAGGGGGCATTACCTTGGATTCTGGGCCTGAGTCAAATATAGGGAAGGAATTGTCATTCAGAAACCAGGCCTAACAGTGCCTGACCAGCATCCAGGACGTCATGCCCTTAACCACACTAGACCATGCTGCCTTCACTTTCCCACACCAAAGAGAATGCACAACTTACTTAGCGGCGGTCTGGACCTTTTCCTAGAGATACCACCCCATAACAGGAAACTCCTCGACATGTCTTACAATTCACATTCTCCTTCATAATCCACCTGTCTTACCAGGTGTATTTAAAATTAGTGACCAGATAAAATCTAAGGGTTCCTCCTTCCCATCTTGCTGGTGAAATATTACACAGAAACGGAGATTTAATGGATGAGAAAACTTTTCATACACACTTTCACACAGTCACATACAATTGTGTATCCACCATTTGACGGCCCCTGTCACACACTCAACGAGCCACGCAGAGTTAGAACCAAACACCACACACCTTCACAATAACCACTGCATACACAGCGACAGTCACTCGCTCACAACCAGGGAATCAAGCATCAGCATAAAAAGGACTCCAACTCTGGCCCTTCGCCTGGGTATACGCGCACGCGCGCACGGTGGGCGGCGCCCTGCGAAACATCGCGAGATAGGGTATTAGGGTTTGGCCGTCGCCTTGGGGACTGGAGATCACACTGCCCAGAAAACACCGCGACGCCGGCCAATCACGGCGCTGCACCAGCGACGCCTGCGCCATCTTCCGGCTCTGGACGAGGAGTCCGTCAGTGCCGAGTGGAAGAGCCCACTGGCTCGCACAGCGCGGCTTCGGTAGCAGCTGGATCTAGGAGCAGCAGGTGAGGTGCTCGGTTTTCCGAGCGCTCCGGGGTCCGTGCGAGAGCGGACACCGCGGCCTGGCAAGTTCCGAGCCCAAGAGGCATCGGGACGGTCGGCCCCGCGTCGATGCGCGGCTCTTGCGGCTGTGGACCACACTTCCCGTTGACCCCTGCGCGCGCCGCCCTCTCCCCAGCCCCAGCGGGAGGGAGGAGTAGAGGGGTCCCGTCCCCTGGGATCTCGCCTAATTTGCATTTATTTGCGTGTGTGTGTGTGTGTGTGTGTGTGTGTGTGTGTGTATGTGTATGTATGTGTTAATCTGGAACGAAGATTTGTTTTATGAGTTCCTCCAAGAGTTGCAAGACCCCAGAAGATTGAAAATCACTAGTTTAGAGGCAGAGATTATCTCTGGGGGTATTTTAGATGATCTTTTTCAAATTGTGCCTCCGACAGTGGAGAAACGAATGGTTAAATCACAGGTTGTCCATGTAATAAGATACAGTACTGCTTATAAAAGTGGTTATCATAAGGAAAAACTTCCTATTGTGTGATATTTACCAATATTCATAATCACGTACATGTTAGAGTGAAATATTGTAACACGCCAGGCACTGTCCTGTGCTCTTTTACAAAATAATACTCATTTAGTGATGAACTCAAGGAGTGGTTAAATGACAACTTGCAAAATACTTGTGTGTTTTCTGTTCAGTTGTGTGTGTGTGTGTGTGTGTGTGTGTGTGTGTGTTTTGAGCCTGTGTTTCAGTAAACAGGTGAGTTTGGCTTCTGTTTGATGAATGTTCTCATATTATGCAAAGGATCTAGTTGTGAATATCTTTCCCTGACAGTTACTGTTGCCCAGCACCAATTTTGATTGTTGTGAGGTGTTTCATTTTATGGCTGTGCCAAAAATGATTCACCTACTGTGGATTTAGTGTAATAATTTTGTATTCTGTCTTAAGCAGATGTGTCGCACAGATGCTTTGCGCACTGCTGTGTCTTTATAGAAGGGCACATTTATGTGCTGACAGTGGAGTCCTGGCCCTGCTCCATTTACCTTTTCAAATTGTCCCCTGCAGCTACACCCTGTTTGTTGACTAATGGTAGACCCTAAAAATGGTGTCCACAAGCCTCAGGTTGGGCTGTGGAGCTCTTTAAATTTGAAAGTTGGGAAAAGAGCTGAGTAGACTTCTGAAGATAATTACATTTGATGTGTAAGAGAATTAAATGGCTTGGTCTTAGGCAGGCTTTAACTAGGCGTGGAGCTATGCAAATTATGGAGGCCCTCAGCCACTGGAACTGGTGTGAGCATCTCAGTCTGAGATTTGTATATGCAGCAAGGCACTTTAGGGAAATGAAACAGAAAGGATCGCTGTTTCCTTGGCAGTAGCTAATGCTGGTTTCCTGTAGTTGGGTGACAGCTACAATTTGAGGGCAGGGAGGTGGGGTCTTGTAACCTTGGCATTCTGGGAGCTGTGAGGCAAGCCTACCCTCTCATATTTGCTCTTTCCTCCTCCAGCTCTGCCATCTTATGATTCAGTCCATCCCCACAAGAGGAGCCTGGACAAGGACCCAGCAGCCCTTGAGATTCTAAAAGTCATGTCCCTCGTGAGTTTTAAAATCATGTAAATATTTGTTTTCCTTATCCTGAAACTTCCCACCTGGGTTCCATCCATTAATTTGGCTCTCAGAGGTCCCCATTTTAGGGAATAAAAGGAGCACACGGACAGTTCCCCACCAGTTGGCCCCTCTGACAAATTTATTCTGAGTAGCATTCCACATCTCCTGATACTCAGTCTTGGGTTAGGAGGCCAGATGGAGTAGAAATCTATTTCCCTGTCTGAGATGAGAGCATTCCTGTGGGAAGTGAGGTTTGAAGATTTGGGAATGACCCTCAAGAGACATCACATAGAAAAGCAGGGAGTGAAGTTGGTTGGGCTCATTTCCGTGAGTGGTGCCATGTCTTGCATTGAAAGAGATTGACATTTGGGTGTAATGGAGTCTTAGCTGGGAATATGAGAAACTGGGTGCTAGAATTAAACTCTTTTGTTTGAAGTTGCAGAACACTTGATTCTGAATCATTCATTAGCTTCTTCAGCTTAAGATCAAGAGAAGTGTGGAGCTAAGCATGATAGGTAATAGGTTAGATTATCAGCCAGATCATTGTAGTATCAGACCTTGCAAGAGTAGAGAAATCTGATCCAGCCTCTGAATCCAAAATAAGAGAATGTTTGAGTCATTTTTTTCGCTTGATAGAAAACTGTACAGTCAACAGAAGTGATTGCTCTTGATTTTACTCATAAAGAAAATGTTTGCAGCCACCTGGGTGGTACAGCCTGTAATCCCAGCCCTCCGGGAGGCTGAGGCAATAGGGCCACAAGTTCAGGTCCAGTCTGGGGAATTAGCAGCTTAGTGAGACCCTCTAAATAAAGGGATGGATAGCTACATGAAGAAAGAAATAAAGCTAAAGAAATAAAGAAAAGCAAGCAAGCAAGCCTGGGGAGATAGCTCAGTGCAGAGACCCTGGGCTCAATCCTTGTAACCACACGTGCACGCGCGCGCGCGCGCACACACACACACACACACACTATATATATATATGATCTGATATAATGATGTGCTTAGGTTTTCAGGAAATTCTTGACTTACATGAAAATCTTGTTTCTAAGATCTTTTATAAAATTTCTTGAAACAAAACATTTGGGAAAAGTCCATCAAGTATCTCTTTTGTTATTCCATGAAGATAGAAATAATAGTCGTATCTTAATTGGTAAGTTCTTATATGCTGAGCACAGTGGGCAGCGTATTTCATTACATTATTCCCTTCAGTAAAAAGAAGTCCATGTTCTCGAATCTCCACTTCAGACCTGTGTATAGGAGCTCCGATCTGCAGGGAAGAGGGTGTTTGAGAATATCAAAGTTGTTTTCCTCATGCCTGTTTCCTCTGTCACATGTTATATCCAGCCCCAGCCTTTTGTTCACCAGAACAGACCCTTCAAAGCCCTTCTCCAGCTCCTTTCATCCCACTGGGAAACATTGGCTTGATTGGTATTTGTCTTTCATGTCCTTTCTTCCAGGGGCCAGCATTGTTCAGGGATGTGGTCGTAGTCTTCTCCCAAGAGGAGTGGGAGTGGCTGGAGCCTGCGCAAAGGGAGCTGTACAGGGAAGTGATGCTGGAGACGTACAGCAACCTGGTTTCGCTGGGTAAGGTGGTTGGTCTGTTAGTTTGGAGCGGGTCCGGGGAACTGCTCTGTTCCTGGTGCTTTTCAGTGTGGTGACCTGTTGGTCATGTGGGAGTGGCTGAAGAGCAGCCCACTGGCTGAGGCTGTGTGCTCCCTTCCCCCAGCCTTCCTGTGGCTGCCCTGGAGTGAATTCTGGGCCCCCCACAGTATAACCGGTGGTGTTTCTTCTCATGTCCAGGTCTTGCCACATCCAAACCTGATGTGATCTCCTTTCTGGAGGAAGGCAGAGAGCCCTGGGTGGAGGAGAAGGTGACAGTGGGAGGCCTGTGTCCAGGTGAGTGAGGCATCAGTGGCAACACAGCAGCCCCTGAAATCAGGTCAGCAAGGAACGGACCCTCGCAGTAGAAAATCTTCCAGGCTGCCAGACCCAGGACCCATTTTTGTCATCCTCCTCCTCAGCTGATCAGTAAAATTTAACAAAGGTTGTTGCCTCTTCCTTTCTGAAACATTAAAAAAAAGTTCAACCAGTATTTAGGGAGATAGTGAATATAAATGTGGTTCCTAAGAAACATATTTTCTCCTTGGAAAGTTAGCTGTGTCCTTTAACCACTTTTGTAAGGGAATTTGTATTGGTTGGTTGAATTTTGGAGAGGCACCAGCAGGTGTTCATTGAGCTTTTGTGATGCTCCACAGAGTGTGCCGCAGTGAGGGAGGCGGAAATTACCCCTGCCTTCCTGGAACTCGCACACGCACACACATGCATGCGCACGCATGCACACACACGCACACACACTTTGGGGAGGTGACTGGATTATGCATGTTTGAAACTCATCAGTGGATTAGTCCACTGATTTGTATATAGCTAAATGTGATGTTGGGAGGTGAAGCCTGGTTGGAGGAGGCACATCACTGGGGGTGTGGCCTGGAAGGGTCTATTTCCCTCCCTCCTCTCTTGATGTCTCTCTGATTCCGGCCACCATGCCATGAACTGTTTCTCCTCTGCCATGCCTTCTGTAGCCTACCCAGAAACCCCCAGAAGTGTACTTTACTATTGTCTGGCTCTAAAGCCAGTCAAATTGAAAATCCAGCTTAACTGTCACAGTAGTTTATAAAGTAAAGAGATTTATTTTGCTCACAATTCTAGCCCGGACAGCATGGTGCTGGTCTCTGGTGAGGTCCCTCAAGCTGCATGTCACATTAGGTGGAGAAATGGGAGGGGAACTGGCTGCATAAAGTAGGGGCCAAACGTATGGGATGACCTCCCTTTCAACAACCCTTTTTTGTGAGAACTAATCTAGTTATAGGAGACCTAAGCCAGTCCTAAGAGATGGGATTAATCCTTTCTGAGGGTAGCTTTCCTGTGCTTTAATCACCTCCCACTAGGTCCTCACCTGCTTTTTTGTCCAGCACTGGGAATCAAGCCAAGGCCTTATTCATGGTAGGCAGGTGCGCTGCCACTGAGCTACACCCCGCTTCTAAATATCCCAGCACCTCAGTACCATTCCATTCCATTCCAAGTGCTTCTAGCATATGATTGTGAGACAAATAATACCACTAGGTATGAAAGATAGGTAAAGATCCAGATTTATAATAAATCACCAAAAAGAGAGCTGTGTTCTGTCTTCATGCTCCACAAAATTAGAGAAGGTACGTGTATGAGCTTATATCACTGGAAGGACTAAGAATCAATATTTTATTGTTGTCCCCAACTGTTTTTGTTTTTGAGACAGGGTCTCGCTGTGTAGTTCAGGCTGGCCTTGGCCTCACTATGGAGCCTAGGCTGGCCTTGAACTTGGAGAAATCCCCCTGCCTCAGCCTCCTGAGTGCTAGGATTACAGGCATGTGCCACCATGCCCAGCCCCAACTCTTATTTGTCCTCAATTATTACCATTTAAGTTTGATATTCTAACAGTTTAAACATTTAAATTATGCTAAACAGCAAACACTTGTTTGAAATGAAAACCAAGAAATTTGGTTTTTTTGTTTTGTTTTATTTTTGGTTTGTTTGTTTTTTTGGTACTGGGGATCAAACTGAGGACCTTGTACTTGTGAGGCAGGCAGTGGGACTGCTGAGCTAAATCCCTGACCCAGAAACCAGAAAATTAAGACTAGATATTCAAATAATTAACTTCACTGCCAGATCTTATCAGGAAATGTGAAAATACAGAAGACCTTGCTGTTATTACTATGTTACAACTTTACAAAGAGTTAAAAGCCAGAAGCTAGAAACTGTGACGATAGTCATCTCTTTGGATAGTTTTTATACAGTACTCATATAACTAGAGATGGCTTTATTTGGAAGAGTAGAAAAGTGCTCATGGAACAAACACTATACTCGGTCATAAATCAGCACACGTCACCCATGTGAGTGTGGTAGAGAAAGGCATTCTGGAGAAAGGAGTACCTTTAAAGCCATTTCCATGTAGCAGCCAGGGATTTTTTTCCATATTACCAACCAAATAAATAAGTCGAGTATTCCTACAGTGAAATGTCCACTTAGGCATAGTTAGCTGTTTCTTCTGTCCACCGAGCTAGCTTTAATATTCCATGATGTGCTGCACTCTTGGTTTGCTGGTTTGGTTGGATGGTAGCCAGATGTTCTGACCATGGAGAAGATCTACACATAGGTGGCCATCACAATGGCTCCTTGAATCTGCCTCGCCAGATGAATCATTAGACTGCAGTAGAGACCGAGAGCCTTCCTCTTGACCAAGCAAGCTCAGTGTCTGAAAAAATGTCTGTACATTGTTTCATTCTTACAGTGTCATGGGGATTCACTATCGTGGCAAAGTTTTTGAGATGACAGCGGCCAGCATCATTCTTACAAAATCTGATGCTTCTTCTTTATCTTGCGTTATAGAAGCAATCTTATGTTCTAGTAGTTTTTGCTTAATACTTTCACAAATAACAGAATGAGTACAAGGTTTGCCACCATCTGAAGCAAACATGCCCCTGTAAATGTCTCTAAGGCCCTCTGCCTGATATGCTAGGAACACATTCAGAAGCACTCATCTTTTTCCTGTGATTCCTTGCATCAAGCTGGAAATGAGTCTTTTGAAGCCACATGTATGTGGGTGCTGCCACTGCAGTATAACCCACCACTGCACTTGCAGTCATGTGCTGTATTGAACCTGGATTGTATACACTGGTCGACTTCTGCTTGCAATTTGAATAAGCAGCAAAGTGTGTTGTGTGGAAGGGGCTCACTGCCAGCAAATCAAGTCTGATCCTCTACACAAGGAGCAAGGACCTTTTCCAAGCTCACCTTTAAGTGCTGGGAAGTTCAGGGAGAAGCCACTCACTCAGTAGACCTTGCTGTCAGCTAAACTTCAGATATGAACCCACCACAGAGTAAGACAGCAGATGAGTTATGATGTTTCCAGTGTGCATGTACGGATAGCTGCCAGGGTTCCAGCACATCTGGCAGACAGACGAGCCGGTGTGTCCTCTGGGTCATTCTTTCTCCACATGTCTGTGGTGAGGCTGGACACAGATACAGCCATACCCCCTTCCTGTCACTTTTTTTTCTTTTTTTTGGTGGTAAATACACATAACAAAATTACCATTTTAACCATTTTAAGTGTACAGTTCAGTAGTTCTAAGTGCATTCACATTGTTTACAACCATTACCATGCGCATCTCTGGAATGTTTTCATTTGTGATATCTCTGATTTAGTGTACCCTAGGGAAGTACAGTGTATATTCGATAAAATGTGTGTTTTAAGTGCAGTGTATCAAATGACAGATTCATATACCTATGTAACCCTCACCACCATCAAGACAGGACATCTCCTGTCACCCTGAAGAGCTCCCTGTGCCCCTTTGTGCTCCTCCTGCACAAACCCTCTCACCCCAGTGATTTGCAGAAAGCACTCAACAGATTTGTCTTTTTTGTAGTCTCAGAGAAACCATTCAGTTAAAAAAAGACAAAAACAAAACAAAGTGAAACAACATGGTTCAGAGGTGATTGGGAGCTACACTTAACATTTTAGAACTACTCTTATAACTTCCTTCTTTGATTACCCTCCTCATCTCATTATAGTATTACCTCTTTCTCTTTTTTTATTGCCCCACTTTCTAATTGTTTAGCCAATACTCTATTTGTTCTTTTGCAGTATTGGAGTCTGAATATTATACCAAAGCCCTGTCTCCAAAGCGGGATGCTTATGATGTTGAATCCCCGCAGTGGGAAATAATGGAAAGCCTTACGAGCTATGGCCTTGAGTGTGCAAGTTTCCAAGATGACTGGGAATGCAAAAGCCAATTTGATGAACAACCAGGAAATCCAGGCAGACATTTCAGTGAAATGTTAGACAGTCATGAGGGTATGCCTACTTTCAACCAGCAAGCATCCCTCACTTTTTATCAAAAATTCCATACTGGAGGAAATCCCTGTGGATATAATAAATGTAGAAAAGACTTCTGGCAAGAGGAATTCCTTATTAATCATCAAGGCATTCATACTAACGAGAAACCCTATAAATGTAAGGAATGTGGGAAGGCCTTCAAATATGGCTCACGACTAGTTCAACATGAGAACATTCATTCTGGCAAGAAACCCTATGAATGTAAGGAATGTGGAAAGGCCTTCAATTCTGGTTCAAATTTCATACAACACCAGAGAGTTCATACTGGGGAGAAACCATATGAATGCAAAGATTGTGCAAAGGCCTTTAGTCGAAGCTCACAGTTGATTGAACATCAGCGTATTCATACTGGTGAGAAACCCTATCAGTGTAAAGAATGTAGCAAGGCCTTCAATCGCATCTCACATCTTAAAGTTCATTACAGAATTCATACTGGTGAAAAACCTTACTTGTGTAAGGAATGTGGGAAGACCTTCAGTCATCGTTCTCAGTTAATCCAACATCAGACTGTTCATACTGGCAAAAAACTTTATGAATGTAAAGAATGTGGGAAGGCCTTCAATCAGGGATCCACTCTTATTCGCCATCAGAGAATTCATACTGGTGAGAAACCCTATGAATGTAAGGTGTGTAGAAAGACCTTTAGAGTGAGCTCACAGCTTAAGCAACATCAGAGAATTCACACTGGAGAGAAACCGTACCAGTGTAAGGTTTGTGGAAGGTCCTTCAAACGGGTCTCACACCTCAGTGTCCATTACAGAATTCACACTGGTGAGAAGCCATATGAATGTAAGGAGTGTGGAAAGACCTTCAGTCACTGCTCCCAACTGATTCAACATCAGGAAATTCACACTGAGGAAAAGCCCTGTGAATACAAGGAATGTGGGAGGATCTTAAGTCATGATTCAGCTACTCTTCAACATCAGAGACTGCACAGTAGAGAAACACATGTGAATGTAATAAATGTAGAAAAGCCTTCCATCAGTACTTACCCACTATTCATCATTAGAGAGTTTATGTTGGCGAGCAACCGAAAAGCCCATTAGCCTAGGCCAGAGGTGGTGAACATATAGCATGTGTACCACAGAGGGCTGTTTGTTATTGAAAGCTCTAAAAGTTCGTCCTCATTGTTTCAGAGCTTTCAGTGATACAGACACTGTGCACTGTGGCACACATGCCATAGGTTCCCACCGCTGGCCTAAGCTAAACACAGCTAACTCCTGCATCTTAGACGTGAGAACTACAGTGTAAAAGAGAATGCCTTCATTCTGAGTTTATCCTAAGTCAGAACATTTCATATAAAATTTTTATAAATCTAAATTCTTTAGACTACAGTTGTCAAAAAAGCAGGGAAAGGTTGGAAAGTTGTCACTAACATTCCAGAATTACATTTTCTAACCAAATTTTGTTTTCACAACAATCTAAAGTTTTAGTTTTCTCAGAAAAAAAAAAACCTAACCAAATACTCTTGGATTAACAAGGAAATAAATTATGCAAATACCAAGAATGTAGTAAAGAGAATGAACTGAGAGTTTTACATGCTTAGCGGTGAGATAGCCTTTAATTTTTGTCCCCTTTAAATGTATGTATGTATGTGAAAACCCGAGACTGCTCAGACAACACAAAATGTACTGTTCACGACAACCACACACCCATGCAGCAAAGAAGATATTAATAGAAAATGAAAACAGAAAAGGATGACATAAAGGGTGATCAATCATTTTACAGTAATCCCAGTTCTTGTTATTTCTGTTAATCTAAATTCGGGAGAATGTTTCTTGATTTCCACACTGTTACATTGTTTTGTGTTCTTGCTTATGACTCAGTTGCCTGTACAGCATCCATTCTCTGTTCTTACTGGCAGCAGCTGTGTCTTGCCCTAGAGTTTGCAGGTATGAGACTCTGATTTTCCAACCTTGTGTGCTGCTCAGAGTGCCCAGTTTCTTCCATTGTTGGCCAGTGGAATCTGCTGGGTCTTCTAGGAAGAATTTTCCTCATTCAGGGGATAGAGACTGAAGATTCCCTCTTCTCTCACTTCCTGCTTTTAAACCTTTCCCTATGGTAATGTGATGCCAGCAGCCACCTTGGAACCAAGATGGGGAGACGACCTCAGAGAAGCTGACTCAGCTTCCCACCCAGTTCTGGAACTGCCTCTTTGATGATTTGTTTAAGAAACATAAGCTGAAGTTAACTTTTGTTGGATATTTTGTAAATTATTAGTAGAAAGCATCCTAAATGATGTAAGATCAAAATTTATTATCAGTAAAATGGCCTGAAAATACCTACAGTTTTTGAATTTGACATTCTTTGACATTATTTGTGGCTAACTAATTAAAAAGTTATACAGTAAAACCTTTAATCAAACCAGGAATTAGCAGAAACCCTTCAATATTCAAGCGTTTCTCTTCAATTTTTAGAACAAGACCAGCATACTCAATTCTTTAGTACTAATTGATATAGTATAATGAAGTATTATAAGAGAAGTGATTAGCTCATTATTTGAAGATCTACACAAGAAAAACAGTCAACCATATAAACTGGAATATTAGATCCACAGCATGCTCAATATCCCTTCTCTGTATCAGCAATAACAACCTGGAAAATAATATCTATAAATGTAACAGAAAAGTATAAAATTTCTAGGAATTAAAAGTACCCTAGGTTTTATGGGGGAAAATTGAAAACTATTAAAAGCCACAAAAGCATTGGAAAATAGCCTATATTCTATCAAGTCCTTCAAATTTAAATATTCAGTGCAGTTCCAATCAAAACTCCAGGTTGACTTTTCAAGGTAAAACTAATTCTAAGTTTAGTTTCAAGAGGTAAAATCTATGATTAGTTCAACTTTGAAAAAGAAGAACAAATAACCAAAATTAAAGAGCAAACAAATATGTAAGAAGCAGTATAGTATAAGAGACACATAGATCAATGGAATGTCATAGTCAAAGACATGCAAATATAAGAACATTCTATACTATATGATAAAGGTGGCTGTGAAGATTGTGATGAAAATGTGGCCCAGAGGTGCTGTTGGAGAAGCCCCCCAACGGCCCAGCCCCTCTGAATCCACTACCACGTGTGTGCCTGGGCAGTCAGCACAATGGAGTCCTCCCACCTGGCCCCTTCCCACACTGTGGCACTCCTCTGACACATCACTTTGTTTTGGCCACTTCCTGTTAGTCTGACCAGAACTTTATTATAAGTAAACTGTGGGGTGAGGCTTGCAGCCAGTCCTTCACAGGTGTTAGACGTTCTTGTCAGCGGAGTTCGAGGCACTTTCCTCTATATCCTTCAAAAATGTCTCTCTAATCTCTCAGTCTCTCTTCTCTCTTTTGTTTTTTGAGACAGTCTATGTAGTTCAGGCTGGCCTCAAATTGATGGTGATCCTCCTGCCTCAGCCTCCTGAATGCTGGGATTACAGGGGTGTACCACCATGGCCGGCCCTTATTAATCTCTTGCACATCTAAATCCACCCTGGCATCTACTTCCAGGAGGACCCAAACCAACATACTGAAAAAATCATGAATAGCCTGATTCTTGAGTTAACGTTATTGAAAGAAATTGCCTTTATATAAAGAAAACTATAATTGCACCCTTTCTAATACTGTGATTGCAAGTGAATCTCAGGTGGATTGAAAAATAAGGTGTAATTCTTTGATGATTATAAAAGCTATTTTATTACGTTTTTGAACAGGCTTCAACATTGATCTATCACTTAAACTAGTCTAGTTTATTTTTATACTTTTTTTTTCTTTTGGTACTGGAGATCAAACTCTGGACCTTGAGGTTTCAAGGCAGGTGGTGGAACCACTAAGCTAAATCCACGGCCCTATTTTTATACTTTTTATTATTACATTTATTGGTATAATTTAGATGTACATGATGATCACATTTGTCATATGGAATTTGTAAGTGTACATGATATATCTTGATTCTTATTTCCATTCCCCTCCCCTCCCTTCTATCCCTCTTCCCCTCCTTATTTAAAGAGCTTTGTTTCCATTTTATCTTTTCTCATTTTTTCTTTTCCCTCCCTTCCTTAACCCCTTCCCCCTCCCTTGTGCCCTTTCCCATTTGAACATTTGGTCGCTATTTTGCAATATCCATTATACATTTTGGTCCTTATTTACACTCAGTTTCTCACACCAAAGAAACAATGCAATAATTACATGTGTATCCGATTTATTTCACTTAAGAGTATGGTCTTCTAGGTGTATCAATTTACATAGAAATGTCTCAAGTTTATCCTTTATGGCTGAGTAGTACTCCAGTGTATAAAAAACCACATCTTTATCCGTTTATCAGTTGATGGGCATTTGGGCTATTTCCAAGATTTAGCTATTACAAACTGTGCCGCTATAAACATGGGTGTGCATATATTGCTGTGGTATGATGTTTTTAATTCTTTCGGGAAGATATGAAGAATGGGGAATAGCTGAGTCAAATGGAACCTCTAGTCCTATTCCTGCCCCCCTCCCATACTGGGGATCAAACTCGGGACTTTGAGCATGCAAGGCAGGCACTGTGCCACTGAGCTAAATCCCTGGCCCTTTTAGTCCTACTTTTTTGAGAAATCTTCACTAATATCAACAGTGGTTGCATCAGTCTACACTCCCACCAACAATGGAGAAGGGTTCCTTTTTCCCACTGCCCCACCAGCATTTGTTAGTGGTTAATTTCTTGATAGCAGCTGTTCTTTCTGGAATGAGTGGGTTCTTTCTCAGCATTTTAATTTGCATCTCTAATGTTGATCATTTTTTCATATATCTCTTTGCTGTTTGTACTTCATCTGAGAAGTGTGTATTCATCTCAGATTCCCATTTTTGGATTGGGTCTTTAAATTTGCGGGGTTTGATTTTTTTCAGTTCTTTATATATTCTATTTGGTCTTTTATTCTATTTGTCTAAGGAATAGCTGGAAAAAAATTTTCCCACTCTAAGGGTTATTTCTTCACTCTGTTGGTGATTTCTTCTACTGTGCAAAAGCTTTTTAATAAGATGAGGTCCTAGTTGTTCTTTGTAATATTTCCCATGCAATTGGGGTTTTGTTCATAAAATCTTTGGCTACTCCTATGTCTTCAAGAGTTCTACCTATTCTCTCTTCCAGCAGATTTAGTGTTTCTGTTTTAATATTTAGATCATTGATCCATTCTGATTTTAGGTTAGTGCATGGTGAGAGACATAGGTCTAGTTTTAGTGTTTGGCTAAAGCCAGTTTTTCCAGCACCATTTATTAAAGAGGCTATCTTTCTTACAGTGAAGATGTTTAGCCCCTTTGTTGAAGATAAGGTGGCTGAGTGTGTTTGGAGTTGTTTCTTTATTTTCTCATCTGTTTCACTGATACTTGAGTCTTTTTTCCCCCCAGTACCATGCTGTTTTTATCACAGTAGCTCTGTACTATGGTTTCAAGTCAGGGACTGTGATGCTCCCTGCCTTGTTTTGCTGCCCAGATTTTTTTTCTATTTTAGGTCTCTTCTGGTTCCAAATGAATTTTAGGAATGTTTTCTCTAATTCTGTGAGGTATGCTATTGATGTTTTGATTGGGTTGCATTAAATCTGTATAACTATTTTGAGAGTATGGCCACTTGGTTTTTTTTGGTACCATGGATCAAACTTGGGACCTTGTGCTTGTGAGGCAGGCGGTAGAACTGCTGAGCTAAATCCCCAGCCCTGGCCATTTTCACTATGTTGGTACTTCCTACCCAAGAGCAAGGGATAGCTTTACATTTTCTGATATCCTCTTTGATCTCCTTTTTCAGAGTACTGTAGTTTTCAATGTAAAGATCTTTTACTTCCTTTGATAGATTGATTCCTAAGTATTTCATTTTTTTTCTATGCTATTGTGAAAGGTGTTTCCCTAATTTCTCACGCAGTAAATTTGTTATTTGTGTGCAGGAATGCTATTGATTTTTGAGCGTTGACCTTGTATCCAGCTACAGGACTGAATTTGGTTATTAAATCTAGAAGTCTTTTGGTGGAGTTTTTGAGATCCTCTATGTAGACTATCACGTCATCTGCAGATAATGATAATTTAACTTCTTCTTTAAGGACTGATTTTTGTATATATTCATTGAACTTTTTGGCTGGCCTCAAAGTCCTGACAATCCTCCTGCCTTAGCCTCCCAACTGCTGGGATTACAGGCATGCACCACCATGCCCAGCTAAGCTCTGAGAACTATACACATCTACATTTCTCATTTCCAAGATTTCTGCCTTTTAAATTATGTTTTGCCTAAAAAGACACATAACTAATCCCGTATTTACGAACCACACCTTTTATCAGTACATAATATTCCATTTTAACCTACAAAATCCAGCCTGTTGCTTGTTTTAAAAGTAAAATCTTAGTGGAGAACACCCCTGCTCATTGCTGGTTGTTGGTGACTGCATTCACACCATTACAGCAGGGCTGATTAGTCACAAGAGAGACTGGGTACAAAGCCTGCATTTACTGTCTAGCTCTTTAGATAAAAAGTTTGCTCGCCCCTACCCAGAGGAATTCTTTTGGTATTTTATGTCCACGTTTTGTAATATTAAATAGTAATGACTTCACTTTACTTGGTATGTTTTTGCCCATCCATTTCTTTTCAACCTGTCGCTTTCTTATGAAAATATACAAACTCAAAATGTAGATCTTTCAGTGCAGGTTTGAACACAACTAAGACAGGCCACACCGTTAATGCATTTTCAAGCTCGCCTCCATATTATAACAGTGTAGATTGGTCTAAAATATTTCTCTGTTGTAATTCTTCATTTCTTCAAAAATCATGTTTTAAGTTTTTCACGAGCTAAATTTCTTATTTTTACCTTTGCTGCAAAACTTTAGGGTAAGAAGAAATGTGCAGTTACTTGTAAATGGGGGAAAGTAAACCCTAAAGTAGTTGTTAGAATCCCAAGGTGATCAGAACAGGTCTCCGGACCACTTTTACCCCGAGCTACTTCGCTGGGGGCCCGCCTTCCTTCATCAGAACTACAATTCCCGCATGCCACTGCGCCGGGGCCCCGCCTTCCGAGCGCTCTGCCGGCAGGGACCTTTCTGAGGAGTAGGCCAGAAGCCACTGTGGCGCCAGCCTGTCATCAGTGGCTGCGGACGCGTCCAGTTCTTCGGTTTGTGGCCGAGACCTGACCTTCTGTGCAGTGCGAGCAACCATTGGACCTTGAGCGAAGCCATTTGTCCTGCCGCGCGCGCGCAAGTTGCTCCATAGTCTCCTGGCTCCAGGAGAGTGCACTTCTGGCCGAGACTACATTTCCCAGGAGCCAGCGCGGCGGCCCACCAATCCCTA